TGTTTTCTCCATACTAAGACATTTTAAAATACCAAATATTTGGAAAACAAATTAATGTTAACCTATACCTATGATGTAACTTATAAAAAAATAAATTTCTTCAAAAGGATTAATATCATAAAATATACTTATAGATATAATATAGTTTTAGCTTAGAATCATTTTTTCAAATACGGTGATTTTATTTCATTGAATTCATATTTAACGTCTTCATTGCGATGAGCTACATAGCAGTTAATGCCCACCTTTTTATAAATTAACCATTTAAGATAATGTCAGTGCAATATTTGTTTTCTCTCTAAGACCCACACATAACATAGATGAAATGGTTTATTAGTTTTTAAGACTTATGAAATCATCTAAGAGTAAGATTACCAACATTTTATTTTGTATTCAACTTTAAAAATAAAAAATAAAAATTTAATGTTTAAAATGTTTTGAGACAATATTTAGACAAATTGATGCCAAACCTAAAATAATATTCTTCACAGTTTATGTAAAAACAGAAAAAAATGATTCTGCTAAAATTAATTTAGTCTAATATAAAAGAAGCTGGTACTCATTAGAATTAGTATACTCAGTTCTTTTTACACCACAAAATATTTAGACAAAATTGATAAATTCCCTGCTATTCACTTAATGTGTTAATTCATCAATTATTTATGTTTATACAATAATAATATCATAAAAATAACAAAAAATAAATGCTAGAAATTGTATAGGTACTTATTAGATAAATAATAAATATTTAATTTTTTTTAAGTTAAATTGTATTTAGTTATACTTAGTTATAAGATAAAAATAAATTGATCAACAAAATAGCTGATTTGTGCAATGCATTAACATAAAATTGCAGTAATGTATATATATATGTTTACATTATAGACAATTAAATGCATTTAGTAAAATTTATATTGTAATATAAAGTTATTAATATAAGTATTAGAGTAAACATATTACTAATTTTTGTTTATATAAATGTGTATACAAAGAGCTTGCAAAATTAGATTTAAAAAAAAAAAAAACTAATATACTAACTTTTAAATAAATTAAAATTAATAGTATCGACTTCAAAGCAATATTGTAATATAACTTTAAARAATATAGCTTATGATAAACCTTGTGCATATTGCATGAATCCCCTACCTTGCCACGAAAATAAAGAACAGTCTATACAATTAAATTAGGAACAACATTTTAAAATATTAAAGGCCCAATGGAAATCATAAATAATAATAAGAAAATATGAAATAAAAGAATCAAAATACAAAATGCTTTTGTTTTATCTGTGAGTATACAAAATCAGATTTACTGTGTTTCAATTATTTCTTTTTCAATATCTTTGGCTTCTCCAAGAATTTGTAAGAGTAATTCATGTACAGGTTCAAATATTTTACGGTAACACATGTCAGTTGGATGTAGGTAATCAAGCATATCTTGAGCACTCAGTGTATCATCTGATTGCAACAGACCCGTATTGACAGTAATCACTTCTAACCGAGAAAATAACTTAACTTTTTCATGTATTATTTCATTAACTTTGGAGTTACGAACACGTAATTGATTTGGCCTGGCTCCACGAGGTAATAGATCCTAAAATCATAAAATTAATATAAAAAATTATTTTAATTTAAACAATGACTCAAAAGTAAAATTGCATCTTAATGTTATTAGCTCATTAATAATATGTCAATAGATTTTAAATAGAGCAAGTAAGTTTCTGGTTTCCCCAAAAAATTGAATAGAAATATACAAATACTTTAAACATTTTAATCMCTGTTGCTTTAAAATCAATAAAAAAAAAAACTGTCACAACACTATATTGTTACATAATATATAGWAAATTGAACATAAAGTAATAAGAATAACTTATATTAAGTTTTAATGTATCATAAAATAAAATACATAATAATTACCAACAAAATGATATAGCACTCAGGTAGTTTGAATTTGATTTCTTTGATTATGGTTAGAATGCCTTCTGATATTTCATCAGGAGTATTACCAAAATTATTTGTACCAACATGAAGAACACATGCCTAAACAAAAATGTACATTACTTGATAAAAATAAATTATAAAATATTTTAAGTTTTGAATGTTGTATAATAAATTGTTTAGTATATAAGATACATTATATATATATATATATATANTCTATGCCCTGTCCTGTTTGTTGATTGTCAAATGGTAATTAATGGGCTGACATATTTTAAAATTTCGCGCGCCGTGACGTCATGCTTTAAAATTTTGCTACCCGGCAACCACTATCTAACTACAACTGTGGTAACATAAGTTCTCTTCGATAATTCGATCACAGAACGCTCCGTGTATAAGGTATACTAGGTATAGGCATAGGCGTATTATTAATAAGCGAAAAATTTACCCGCCCAAACCAGCGTGCTGTGTGTAAYTAACAATTAATATTGACCATAAGTCCATAACCCTTATATAGATAATATTAATTATTAAATAACTTGTAATAAACATGTTCTATAATAAGAAACAAGTAACTTGTATAATGTTTAACATTATAGCTTGATTAATTACAATATGTATTGATTAATAAAATTACAGTCTTGTAAAAATAAAAAAAACATTTTATTTGCATACTTTTAACTTTACAACTATTATTAAACATACCTACTAACAGTACTACTGTGGTACTACCTAGGTGGCTAGGTTAATATGTGAATTATATATGTGCATTCATTGTATTTAAGAAAACCTATTTTTGTAATTATTTCCCCTTATACCCCACCGTACTTATTATTTTAAAATGTAAAATGTTGTTACTGTTGTCAGATAAAGGTGGTAAATTAGTAAGTAAATTTAATCTATTCTATGGTGAATACCCGTCGTAGAATATAATGGGACCGCCGGACTTGACTATTTAAGATGTAGGCTATTTTTTTATGATTAAATGCTTCGATTTTTGGTAGCATAATTTCTAATTGAAAAATTAACCTAGTATTGGTACGTAGTGGTGTTAAATTTAATGAACCCCCAAAAGTGTCAGAAAAAACAAACAAAAAATTTTTGTTTTAGTTTAACTCAAAAACTAAAAACCATATTTACTTTAAATTCCCACCAAATGTTTGCATGTCAATTTCCTAAATACAA